CACATTACACAAAGAGGAAGACAGAAAAACAGAGAGGGAGAGAGACATGGCAGTGTAGGCGATTACTTAAAAACAAAAATAAATAAATAATATAAAATAAAATTTTAAAAAAGATTTTATTTTATATTATTTTTTTAAAGCGCGAGCGATCTCTAAATTCTAAAAATCTCCCCAAAACTCGAAATTGAAAATCTGACTCAAAATCACTCACTCACACTATGGCCTTTCACGTTGCTTGCCCAATTACATGGTATTATTATTATTTTTATTACAAATTATTGTCTCTCTAAATAAGAATAAAGCTCTCTTCTATTTCTCTCTCGTTCGTTCGTTCCTTCATTTTGTTTCTGCTCTCGCGACCTCTCTGTTCATGTTCAAATAAACGCTTTCTCTGTTGTGTTGTTGTTTGTTTTTTGTGGTGGTTGTTTTGTAGCAAGCGAATTTGCTTTTGCACGCTAGGGTTTCCGCGGAGCGTTCAGAGTGCGAAGGCGCGGAACGACTTCCTACACGAGGTCGTTTTGGTGGAGCAGTTTCTTGACGATCCTTGGGGGAAGATTAGGGTTTCGAAAGAGGGGAGTACTGTTCAGGTCAGCGTTCCTGAACTTCCGCAACCTCCGCCGCCGCCGCAGCAGCCGGTTGTTGTCGATGGACCTTCTGTTGCTGCCGCTGCCGCTGATGCGGCCGAAGAGGCCGCTGCTGCCGTGTCCGCGCAGACTAAACGTGTGGCTTTGCAACGCAAGGCCGCCGCGGCCATGGTTGCTGCCGAGGATTATGCGAGACGGTTCGAGTCCGGTGATATTGCGGTTCGGTTCTTGCATTTTGCTATTGTCTACTTTTTATTGTGATCTTGTTTTTGCTGTTTATGCCAGCTTTGGTTAAATGTTGAAAATTGGTTTGGGTTTTTGAAATTCAGCTTAATCTTTTGGGTTGATTATATTGTTTATTTTTTAATCGAATATTTGTATGTGTGTGTCAGAATTTGATCAGTTAGTGTTATTTGTTAATTTTCAATTTAGTTTACTCAATTTACAATAATGAGTTTAGTGTGTGTGTGTGTGTGTGTGTGTGTGTATATATATATATATATATAGGAGTGCTCTATTTTTTTCTCCTCAATTTGTGTTATATTTTTGAAAGTTTGCTTCGATAGGGTTTTAAAGGTGATTTTATTGATTTCTTACTACTTTAACTTTTTTCAAATTAATGTGGTTGTTATGAGCTTATGCAATGAAATTTTGTGTTATTTAATTAATTAGTTATAGTTGGGTTCATTATCTTCTAAAAATTGTGTGAAAGTGCTTGCTTAAGTGTTTTCTTTATGAAGTATAGTCTTCACTAACTTGCAAACTGCAAAAGGGACCCTTGTTAGTTCATTAGATTGCAAATCACTAATTTCTTCCCCTTGTACAGCTTGCCTCAAAAGAAGTTGCTGGAGAAGAACAGGGCCAGTCAAACGCGAACGTAATGTGCCGGCTTTGCTTCGTGGGTGAAAATGAAGGGAGTGAAAGAGCAAGGAGGATGCTTTCCTGCAAAAGTTGTGGCAAGAAGTACCACAGGAACTGCTTGAAAAATTGGGCGCAAAACAGAGGTATTATATTATGGCCCCAAAGTTGTGATGCTACAAGTTAATACTTTTCTCATATTGGGCCTCATTTGTAGATTTATTTCATTGGAGTTCCTGGAAGTGCCCATCTTGCCGAACTTGTGAGGTACTTCAACATATGTTTAGTAGTTTTACTACCATTCTTATTTCTTTTGGTGTGTGAAAGATCAAATACATCCACAGCTGAAACATTATCATGCTTGAGAACTCATGCAAGGATGCACTCTCCTGCTAAAATTTCCTCAACCCCATTTCTGAAGACAATGGTTTGAACTATGACTATAACTTGAAAAATGATTATCCAATTGCAATCAGCATCTAATAGGAATTGAACCATTAAAAACACAAATAAATTAAATCAAGTCATAATAACAAAAAATAAAGACAATTAAAAAGAAGAGCAAATATACTAACCCTAACAATGATTTTATACTGAAGAGGGTGAGGGAGTTGTAACCAGCGAACAGCACATTCTCGTCTCTATGTAATTGCCTAATCATCAATAAACAAAAGAGCAATTAGGGTTCAATCAAGTTTAAATAACAAAAATGATTAAATGAGATTCAAAAGTACATGCGAAGAATGTTGCCGATAGTGTGCTCTTCTCTCTCTATAGTAAACGACGCCGCGTTGATGATCTTCGTGTCTCTCTCGTAAGAAACCCTATGATCAAAAATTTCAGGAAAGAAAAACAAAAAAACAACACAAAACTAGAACGAAGAAAACAGTGAGCTTAATAAGAGTGTTTTGAGGAGGCAGATTACTTTTTGGTCCCTTCGGGAACGACGAAACGTTCGTAACGGTCAGGAGCATTCATGGCTTCGTCTCTCTTTTCTCACCCTCTAGCAGAAGCTCCCAGCTCCGAAGATTTTATAATCGCAGACTGAGCGTTTTTATACTTGGTGGGCAAATTTTGATCCGGTGCCGTTTTGCTCCTTAAATTCAAGAAACGCGGGTGATTACATTTTCATCCGATAAGTTGTGATATACCTTGGACCCAAAAGGTTTTAAAAATAGACAAATACATCATTCTTTAATTCTATTACGGATAGAAGGGTAAAGTGGTCAAATTCATAATACCTGAATAAAATAGGAAACAACAGAATACTTACATAACAAACTGCTTGTCCAGTGTGTGATATGAACAGAAAACTTGAAAACTAGTACAATTGAAGCAAGATGTAGTCCAAGATGTTTGAGAATCAATAAAGATAGACGAACAACTCTTCTCACTAACTTTCTCTCACAAAGGCGACGTGACAGCTCGTAATTGGTTAATTCGCAATTAATTTTGGTAACTACAACTCTATTAAATCAAACTCACTCATAATAATAAAATTAGTTTGATACTATAGGGATGTTTAGTATTTTTAAAAAACTAGGGTGGTTTTAAAAAAATATGTTTTTTTTTTTTTTTTATAAAAAATATGGTAATACTTCCATAAAACATATCAAATATCCACAACTTTGAATGAGAAATGTAAGTGAAACTGTGTGATAGGTGAATTGATGAAAGCAGCCTTCCAAATGAATGATGTAAAGGGAATGGAATGACAATTTCCCACCGAAGGTTTGCGTAATACTTTTCTACCCAAAAACTTTGAGAAAAAACAACTTCCACCCATCAATACCCTTTATAATCATTGTAAAGACGAAAACACCCTTATTTCTTTCAAATCCACTCTCTTCTCTCAAACCCACTTCCTCTCTTTATTTTCCTCTTTCATCCTCCTAAATTAAAAAAACACAAAAAAATGGGAAAAAAAAAAAATGAAAAACCAATCTCTCCTTCTCTTTAGTCTCGAATAGCCATTAGAAATATAGCAAGTAACTACTTCTAGTAACTCTATTTTAATTAGGATTTTAAATTTAAAGTAAAGTTTGTTTCCTATTTAAATATATAGGATTTATATTTAAGAAACATTAATTAATTTTATTTTTTTCCTAACCTATTTAATTAAGAATTATCTTCCATGGTAAAACATAAAAAACAAATTATTTGACTGCTATTTAAAATATATCCTATTTAAATACTTTCAAAATGATTTAACTAATTTACCCTATTCTTTCCTTTATCATTCTATTCTCTTTTATTATTGTCCTCAACATAAACTTTAAACCTTCCCAAAAAGAAAATTAATATCAATAAAACAAAGTTTAATTTGAAAAATCATAGGATGAAATTTGTTCAATGTGTGTTTGGTTAATTAAAATTTATTCTAAAATGGATTTAATTTCAACTTCTATAAGCAAGTTTAATCATGTCTATGAATGCATCATATAAGAAAAATTATTGGTAGAACTTCGTCCTCGAAAGTTAGTTTAAAAGAAGAGAGAGTCGGATAATATTATATATAAACAATCCCATACTTGGCGATGTGAGAAAATTAATTTAACACTTCTCATAGTACCAATCATACATGTGCAAAAGTGATGTCTAAAAATTTATGACTTCAAAATTATATCTCTCATACTACAATTAGAACTAAACGACAATACCAAGATCAAATATCACACAAACCACAAAAAAAACAAGAACCAACACAACACACAGATTTTATTGTGGTTCACTTATCCAAATTGGGTAAGCTACGTCCACGTTAAGCTCGGAAATGGGAGAGCTCATGCAGACTTTTTAGAACAAAATCAACCAAGAACAAGTACAAACCAATCAAACTTTCAACGATTACAAAGAAATTCCTCACAGTAACTATCCTAGAGATACTCAACTGAATCCCCAAGAACAAAGAGCAAAGAACCTCATAATTGACTAACAGATTACCCAATCACAAGTTACAAAGATTTCAAAGATCAATCTAAGACCTTTAAGAGAGAAAACGTGAATGTAAACTATTCAACCAGAGACAAAAACCCAGCCCTTTTATTATGCATCCCCTTTTATATTTGACTTAATGAAAGCTTCTTCACATAGATCAGTTTGGGTAACGATCAGGATTCATCATAGACAAATATCGAAGTGCAGCGTTTCATTTGAGCTCTAAAAACAAAAATTCTTCCCAAACATGAAAGGTAATATTATTGAATTCTGTAATTCATGTTTCGCGGCTTTCGCCCAATGTGTTCATGTTGCGAAGATCGTTATTATGCATTTTTTTCGACATGGCAATTGTTCACCCCTTGGTACAACTCGAACTCAAGACTGGGGGAGCACTTATAACCATGCACCCCTCTATCCATCCGGCCACAAGTCGGCGCACTGGGCTGTAGTTAATATGCATATTAGTTATTCTTAAACTCTACTCTTATGAAGATTCTCAGAATTCTATGTAAAACATGTAGCCAAGACTTGGGTCTAGTTGGGGATGTAAAATTTAATCCCAGAAAGATTAGCTCAAGACTTATGGAAAAATAAAAAAAGAAGCTTTTAGAAATGGTATGAGGTGGATCAAACATGTGGAAACTCATATTACTTGAATGTTCATAATACAAGAAACTAAAAGGTGGTTCCACATGCTGCAAAACGTCTCGATATTCAGGATAACTACCAGTGCTTTGACAAAAGCCTCAAGTACACAACTAAGCATTCATCACTCAAAACATTAGTTCATTACAATAATCAGCATTTCTTAGCTTCTGTCCGGCACCAAACACCCATCTTCTAACCAAATGCTGTTGAAATGTACATTAATAGTCTCTTGAATGCTTCGCGATCTCAGCCTACAAACAGACACACTTAAAAATGTAAGAAATCAAGTTAAAATCAACACAACATAGAGCTAAAAACTTGAAAGTTTAGCAGGGTTTATTTCTTCTACTTAAAATAATATTATGAATTTATGCCAAGCATCTGGAACACACTTCTACTGAACACTTCTCAGTTACATATCAGGCTTCTGTGATTTTGACTTACATTTGCTTTAGATGGCCAATATTAATCATTTGACCAAACATCTCAAGCTGATATAAGTATGAAAATTTATGATAGAAAACCATTCATTGTCATTAACCTCACTCAGACAAATCTGTGCAAGCATAAGCAACTGTCTGATGCAGTAGAATCATAGAATAATTTACACAACTTTGATTTTTTCCACACACAGGATAGCACCACTCTAATCTTAATGCTGCTAGAAAAAAAATGTAATAAAAAAAAATTGCAATAATTGATACAGCCCTGGTGCATGTACCTCACCCATATTAAAGGTGTAGAAGAAAAAGAAATAAAACCCACAGTTCAATACAAAACTTCAGCAGGCATTTCTACCAGATTTCTTTCTGCAGGGCATTTTATAAATGGAAGAGTATAAAAACCTAGAGAAAAGTTTATAATGTTAAAGGCTCCAAGTGGTACTCTGGAATTTGGAACCTACCCAACAGATTTCTTCAAAGTTCTAATCAGCAAACAAGATCTGTTCCAGCTTCCTTTTCTCTTCTTACCACATCGAATCTCAACTTAAAGATTTATGTTCCCAAACTGACTTAGTTATGAGCATGAAATATTCATCCAACAAAACCAACTTTAATAGATGCAGAACACAAAAAATGTCTATTGACAACCATTCACCACAAGTTCCCAATCACACTCACCAAAATATGATGCTTGAATAAAATGCTTCAAAAAGAAGCGAAGCACCCATATTCGGCATGCTAATGTCAACCAAACACCAAACTATTGCATTACAATCAAGGCACCATTTTCTACAAGAATGTATTAAGTACTTCATAACTAAATTGTATGATCAAATGGAAAAATATATGCTCGTCACATGAGTTTATTTAAGAAAATAAAGTTTAAGCTTGTATTTCTGATGCAATATTATGCAAAGCACTTCAATTTTCTCAAGAACATGACAACATACAGCAACAAAATATTTAATCACATCATACCTACAGGGAGAGAGAGAGAGAGAGAGAGAAGATGCTTAAAGTTAAATGATTAAAAAAGGACCAGAAAAGAGATGCCACACCTCAAATGAGCTTTTCAGGGTGTCAAGTTCCTTATCTAGATCATTGATAGCCTGGTTATATGCCTGCATCGGTGAGGACTGGCTTGTGGTGTGAATCTACATAATTACATCAAATTAGTTAGGACACCAATATTAACAAATTAAAGAAAATGTCATAAGCATACATGAAAAAATTCCAAAAAGGGCTAATCTTACAGTCAATAGAATTCTCATTTTCAATAAGAATATCGATGTATTCCGTCAATAAATTTAATGTTTGTTTATTAGACCTCAAATAGGTTAATTCAACTAACCAACTCCACACCAAAAAAAAAAAAAAAAAAATGTAAATAGGTTATTTGTTTCCTCATTCAGCCAATTACCAAACAAACAATCAAACAATATCTGTTTTCGTCAAACTGAGATGTTGCAACCAAATTAAGCATTGAACAATTGCACACAACTAGTAACGATGGCAATACAGGAGATTTTAGCTTATTAATTTTTTCATTTCCACTAAAATCCTTATGAGTCTTACAAAATAAATAGTGTTATCTTGAACAGCATTGCCCATTTCTCTACAACCACCAGGTGAAACATTATCATGCTTTGAGAACTCATGCAAGGATGCACTCTCCAGCTAAAATTTCCTCAACCCCAATTCCTGAAGACAATGGTTTGAACTAATGACTATAAACTTGAAAAATGATTATCCAATTGCAATCAGCATCTAATAGGTAATTGAACCATTAAAAACACAAATAAATTAAATCAAGCTATACTAACAAAAATACAGACAATTAAAAAGAATAGCAAATATACTAACCCTAACAATGATTTTATACTGAAGAGGGTGAGGGAGCTTGTAACCAGCGAACAGCACATTCTCGTCTCTATGTAATTGCCTAATCATCAATAAACAAAAGAGCAATTAGGGTTCAATCAAGTTTCAAATAACAAAAATGATTAAATGAGATTCAAAAAGTACATGCGAAGAATGTTGCCGATAGTGTGCTCTTCTCTCTCTATAGTAAACGACGCCGCGTTGATGATCTTCGTGTCTCTCTCGTAAGAAACCCTATGATCAAAAATTTCAGGAAAGAAAAAACAAAAACAACACAAAACTAGAACGACAGAAAACAGTGAGCTTAATAGAGAGTGTTTTGGAGAGGCAAGATTACTTTTTGGTCCCTTCGGGAACGACGAAACGTTCGTAACGGTCAGGAGCATTCATGGCTTCGTCTCTCTTTTCTTCACCCTCTAGCAGAAGCTCCCAGCTCCGAAGATTTTTAATAATCGCAGACTGAGCGTTTTTATCCTTGGTGGGCAAATGTTTGATCCGGTGCCGTTTTTGCTCCTTAAATTCAAGGAAACGCAGGAGTGATTACATTTTCATCCGATAAGTTTTTTTCATCCGATAAGTTTGGACCCAAAAGTTTTATAAAATAGACAAATACATCCATTCTTTAATTCTATTACGGATAGAAGGGTAAAGTGGTCAAATTTATTAATACCTGAATAAAATAGGGAACAAGAAGAATACTTACATTAACAAACTGCTTGTCCAGTGTGTGTAATTGACCCAGAAAACTTGAAAACTAGTACAATTGAAGCAAGATGTAGTCTCAAGATGTTTTAAGAATCAATAAAGATAAATGGATAAACTTTTCTCACTAACATTCTCTCACAAACGGGACGTGGCAGTTCGTAATTGGTCAATTCACAATTGGTCAGGCAAGACCCATTGTTGGACATGCGGGACCTATTACGAACTGTCATGTCGCGTTTATGAAAGAAAGTTAGTGAAAAGACTTTATAAGCATAATATCATCCTTTAAGAATTATGATAACTTTGCATATTTCTCAACACTACATAGACACATATACTAGTTTTTGAAACTATGTTTATCTTTTTATCAATGTCTATACATTGACTATATATTGCTTTTATTAATTAATTATTAATATAGTGCATATTTTACCTTCATACCACTTGTGCTAAAGATAACTGAATCAAAACAATAATTTTTGTAACAATATCTCTATTAAATTATAACCTCTTATAATAATAAAATTAGTTTGATGCTATAGAGTTATTAGAGATGTTTGAGTGTAATTTTAAAAACTAGGGTGGTTTTGATAAAAATATGTTTTTTTTTTTAAATAAAAATATTTGGTAATACTTCTTTAAAACATATCAAATATCCACATCTGTGAATGAGAAATGTAAGTGAAACTTGTGTGATAGGTGGAATTGATGAAAGCTAGCCTTCCAAATTGAATGATGTAAAGGGAATGGAATAACAATTTCCCACCCAAGGTTTGGCGTAATTACATTTTTCTACCCAAAAACTTTGAGAAAAACAACTTTCCACCCGTCATTAATATATGTTTGTGAGAACTGACAGAGTATAATCATTGTAAAGACGAAAATACCCTTTACTTCTTTCAAATCCACTCTCTTCTCTCTAAACCCATGTCCTCTCTTTATTTTCCTCTTTCAATCCTCCTAAATTAAAAAAAACACAAAAAAATGGAAAACAAAAAAATGAAAAACCCAATCCTCTCCTTCATTCTTTAGTCTCAAATAGCCATTAGAAATATAGCAAGTAACTACTTCTAGTTGGGGGTGTTCAAAAGAACCGGTTGGAACCGAAACCGGCCAGTACCCTGGGTTTGGTTCCGGTTCCTACCCATAACCAATCGTTAATGGGTAGGTTCCGGTTCCAAAAACCTACCGGTTCCAAATTTTAGGAACTGGAACCAGGAACCGAGACTAATATAAAATAAAATTAAATATTAGGGGGGTTAATAAAAACTTTTGTAGAAAAAATAATGTGAATATATTTATATTTATATTTCATAACATTTAAAGTAAGTTGATTTGACTTTTAAGAATCTACCTTTACAAAGTAATGGAGTTTGTAATTTTCAATTTATAATTTGTAATTTTATTTTTGTTAACAAGTGTCAGGTGGCGGGGTATTTGTAAGTTTTTAAGGGTTTTTTTGCATTTTTAAAAACTTTTGGGGGGTTATGAATTTTATAGGATGCTTAGAACTAGAATCGGAACCGTTGTTACAGGTTCTTATTCTGGGTACCTAGGAACCGGAACCGATGGTTCCAGTTCTGTTTCCAAATTTCAAGGAACCGTTGGTTCCGGTTCCGATTCCTTAAAAAAGTACAGGGTACCCGGAACCGAACACCCCTACTTCTAGTAACACTATTTTATTTAGGATTTTAAATTTAAAGTAAAGTTTGTTTCCTATTTTAAATTATTTAGGATTTGTAATTTAAGAAACATTAATTAATTTTATTTTGTTTTCCTAATCCTATTTGATTAAGAATTATCTACCATGGTAAAACATAAATAAACAAATTATTTGACTGCTATTTAAAATTATATCCTATTTAAATACTTTCAAAATGATTTAACTAATTTACCCCTATTCTTTTCCTTTTATCAAATTCTATTTCTCTTTTGTATTGTATTATTGTCCTCAACATAAACTTTAAACCGTTCCCAAAAAGAAAATTAATATCAATAAAACAAGTTTAATTTGAAAAATCATAGGATGAAATTTGTTCAATGTGTGTTTGGTTAATTAAAATTTATTCTAAAATGGATTTAATTTCAACTTCTATAAGCAAGTTTAATCATGTCTATGAATGCATCATATAAGAAAAATATATTGGGTAGAACTCGTCCTCGAAAGTTAGTTTAAAAGAAGAGAGAGTCGGATTACATATATATAACAATCCATCAACTTGGCGATGTGAGATAAATTTAATTTCTAACACTTCTCACAGGTACCAATCATACATGTGCAAAAGTGATGTCTAAAAATTTATGACTTCAAAATTATATCTCTCATACTACAATGCTGTTAGAACTAAACGACAATACCCATAGATCAAATATCACACAAACCACAAAGAAAAACAAGAACCAACACAACACACAGATTTTATTGTGGTTCACTTATCCAAATTGGGTAAGCTACGTCCACGTTAAGCTTCGGAAATGGGAGAGCTCACTGCAGTACTTTTTAGAACAAAATTCAACCAAGAACAAGTACAAACCCAATCAAACTTTCAACGATTACAAGAAATCCTCACAGTAACTAATCCTAGAGATACTCACTTGTAATCCCCAAGAACAAGAGCAAAGAAGCCCTCCTAATTGACTAACAGATTACCCAATGACACAAGTTACAAAGATTTCAAAGATCAATCTAAGACCTTTAATAGAGAGAAAACGTGAATGTAAAGCTATTCAACCAGAGACAAAAACCCAGCCCTTTTTATTATGCATTGTCCCTTTTTATATTGTTGACTTAATAAAGCTTCTTCATCCATTAGATCAGATTTGGGTTAACGATCAGGATTCATCATAGACAAATATCGAAGTGCAGCGTTTCATTTGAGCTCTAAAACTGCATCGTTTTAGTCTGCACTTCAACAAATGCTTATATATAAGAATGTATACATGTTGTAACCTAATTGTATACAAAGCATATGAGGTCACAACTAAGGCGACATTTTGTTGTGACGGGTTACTAAGTTCGGCCGAAACTTTGTAAGCCTGTTGTTACAAAACAACACAATATTTGATAATATCACCAACATTATTGTATAAATCATCGATTAACAAGTATAACGATGTTGACGATATCAACCAACTTGTCGCTAAAAAATTCATCTGTCATCGCTGACCAGTTTTTAACTTTTTATTTAGAAGAATTAAATTTTAATATGGTCAAACAATAGTAAAAACTTTATTTAAAAAATACTTATTTTGGTCTTGAGTTATATGTTATTTCTTACAATAAAAAATAATTCTAAAATTTAACAAAACAAACGCCAAATAGAATTATATTTAATGTTGATTATTTTTAAATAAATAAGTATGAAAAAAGTTACAAAAATCCCAACCTAAACCTAAGTCATGTTTGATTAACAACCGAATTCAACATTACATTTATACAAGATAATTGATTGTTACAAGTGGTATTAAACAAGTTACAGCCACATGTAAGTTTCTCATTGGTCGTTATTTTAGATCCGGATCTCCTTTCAAATTGCCCAAAGCCCAAAAGCCCAAACGGCACCGCTTTATTAAGAAGAAACACAGTGACCAAACCGGATCACACACATTACACAAACAGGAAGACAGAAAAAGAGCAAGGGAGAGAGAGACATGGCCGTGTAGGCGATTACTTAAAAACAAAATTAAATAAATAATATAAAATAAAATTTTAAAAAAGATTTTATTTTATATTATTTTTTTAAAGCGCGAGCGATCTCTAAATTCTAAAAATCTCCCCAAAACTCGAAATTGAAAATCTGACTCAAAATCACTCACTCACACTATGGCCTTTCACGTTGCTTGCCCAATTACATGGTATTATTATTATTTTTATTACAAATTATTGTCTCTCTAAATAAGAATAAAGCTCTCTTCTATTTCTCTCTCGTTCGTTCGTTCCTTCATTTTGTTTCTGCTCTCGCGACCTCTCTGTTCATGTTCAAATAAACGCTTTCTCTGTTGTGTTGTTGTTTGTTTTTTGTGGTGGTTGTTTTGTAGCAAGCGAATTTGCTTTTGCACGCTAGGGTTTCCGCGGAGCGTTCAGAGTGCGAAGGCGCGGAACGACTTCCTACACGAGGTCGTTTTGGTGGAGCAGTTTCTTGACGATCCTTGGGGGAAGATTAGGGTTTCGAAAGAGGGGAGTACTGTTCAGGTCAGCGTTCCTGAACTTCCGCAACCTCCGCCGCCGCCGCAGCAGCCGGTTGTTGTCGATGGACCTTCTGTTGCTGCCGCTGCCGCTGATGCGGCCGAAGAGGCCGCTGCTGCCGTGTCCGCGCAGACTAAACGTGTGGCTTTGCAACGCAAGGCCGCCGCGGCCATGGTTGCTGCCGAGGATTATGCGAGACGGTTCGAGTCCGGTGATATTGCGGTTCGGTTCTTGCATTTTGCTATTGTCTACTTTTTATTGTGATCTTGTTTTTGCTGTTTATGCCAGCTTTGGTTAAATGTTGAAAATTGGTTTGGGTTTTTGAAATTCAGCTTAATCTTTTGGGTTGATTATATTGTTTATTTTTTAATCGAATATTTGTATGTGTGTGTCAGAATTTGATCAGTTAGTGTTATTTGTTAATTTTCAATTTAGTTTACTCAATTTACAATAATGAGTTTAGTGTGTGTGTGTGTGTGTGTGTGTGTGTATATATATATATATATATAGGAGTGCTCTATTTTTTTCTCCTCAATTTGTGTTATATTTTTGAAAGTTTGCTTCGATAGGGTTTTAAAGGTGAT